TGGTGATTTGAAGACCTCTAACTTGTCGAAGTAATTTTTAACTTGTTCTTTCCCTATTTTAGACTCTGATCCTACCTCATTTTCACTGGCATTCACTATTTTAATGTCCAATCGCCACCAACCTTCTTGGATTTGTATAGAGGCAATATGATATTTTGTCTTATTATCTATCCCTTTCTTAATGATTCCCAACACTCTGTTCACTTTTTTGACAGCTGCTGTACATTGGGTGGATGTTTTCAGAGAACTATCCACAATGACTCAAAGATCTTTCCTGAGTGGTAACAGCTAATTTAGACCCCATCATTTTATGTGTATAGTTGGGATTGTCTTCCAATGTGCATATTAGCTCAGACTATCCAAATGGGTTTCGGGTTGCATTAATCACTGTTATCAGGGGCGCAAACTGTTGCCTCGGTCCGGAATCCTTATGCACTCCACAATTTCTATCGTGGTGGCATTCCTTAAAAATGTCCTTATTTTGGAAATCTGCAGAAGTGCGACTTGGGCCTCTGTCCACACTTTCACAGAACAGTATGCAATCACTGGAGATTTGGCCTTTGATGTCATCTTGGACTCCACAGTACTCTGTAGTAACAGACTCCACTCCAAAGTCCCAGCCCTCCATCGGGGATACTGCTGTGAAGTCACCTACAGTGGAACACACAGAGGGACACCTCTTGAACAGTCAAACACTAGTTTTGCCTTAAATGGTAGTACACCTCTACCTCGATATAATGCTACCCGATATAACACGAATTCAGATGTAAAGCAGTGCTCCGGGGGGGTGATGCTACGCATTCTGGCGGATCAAAGAAAGTTCGATATAACGTGGTTTCACTTACAACGCAGTAAGATTTTTTTTTTTTTTTTTTTTTTGGCACAGCGTTATATCGGGGTAGAGGTATATTAAGAAATGACAGCAACGGAAGTGAGCTTATTTTCCATCTTTTTAACTCCTGTTATAACTTGTCCTCTCTTTTGTCCATCAGTCCCTGACTAGATTCCAGAACTACACCAAATTTAATAAAATGAAGATTTGAGCTAGAGTCTTCCCAGTGTTGTTTTGTTGTAACTGCTGCCTGCGGTCTGAAAATTGGGTTCATGGGCTCCTCCCTAGGACACCGGCTAGCTGTCAAGTCCAGGATATTGCTGGAGTGTTTAAAATGTTATTGCATTGTGCATAGTAGCTATGTAAACAGTACTCTGGTGTTCCATATTGGTGTCACTGATTCCAAACCAAATGTGCTGAGGTTAAAAGTAAATTTTTAATTGCCAAACATACAAACTCAACCTGATCTGATAGACATCTCCACTGTCTTTCTGGTTCACATCACTTGTAGTGAGGTTTCTACAGCTAAGAACTTTGTAAATAATTCTGTTGATGCTAATCAGGGGATCCATCTCCCTCTGCTGGAGTTGTTTTGGCCCTGCAGGCCTCTCGAAAGTACACTTCTCAGATAAGCTAGATGTACAAGGGCAGGTATGCCAGATAAGAATGTACAGTTTTTTTAAGGCACTTTTCTGACCATATAGTTTTAAAATGAGTCAAGGCCCCAGGATTTGTTTCCATACACCAGATTAAAATGCGAAGTAGAATTGCATATTAGTTGTCCATCTCAAAGATGGCCTGAGATACCAGCAGTATTGTTTTTCATAACCGTACTAAACAGGATTAACTAAATTAGTTTTACATTTCATTTCTGAGTATCCTTTTGGGGGAAAGGGTGAAGGGGTTAGTACAGTGTACTCCTGAGAGAATTCTGTGCCAAAAAAATAAAAATTCTGCACACAGTATTTTAAAATTCTGTAAATGTTATTTGTCAATAAATAAATGTGATGGCTCCAATATGGCATTGGGGAGCACAGGCTACTGACAGCACGGAGATGGGAGATCACCCTGCAGCCCTGTCCCCTCCTCACTAGGACATGGACTTTGGTGGTGAGGCTGCACCACCTCTGACACAGCACAAGGGCCAGGCCTGCCCCAGAAACACCCCGAGTCCCTGCCCCTCCATGCCAGGTGAGCTAGGGGTAGGCAGGAAGACTCAGCCCAGCTGGATGCAAGTGTGAGGGGGTGCAGGTGTCTTGGTGGGGGTTCTAGGTGTCGGGGGATCTGGATGCAGATCTGGGGTGGAGTTTGTCAGAGTGGGGCTTTGAGTGTAGGGGCAGTTTGGATGCAGGGGTGAGGGTCCAGATGCTGAGTGGGCATGGGCTTGGGTGCAGGGGGGCTCCAGCTGCAGAATGTGAGGCTCATTAGGGTGGGGGTTTGGGTGCAGGGGGCTCTGGGGGGGGGATATGGATTGGGGGGGGTGTCCTGGATGCATGGGGGTTGGGCGGATGGGGGAGCAGCTCCCTATACAGTGACGCTTCCCCTCTTGGACTGAGAAGCGGGGAGGTGGGAGGTGTGGGGGTGGGTCTGACCCAGCCCTGGCTGCTCCTTGCAGGGGAAGAGGAAGTCCCATCCTCCCAAGCCAGGATTAACAGCTGAGCCTGGCACAGGGTAGGAGCCACTGGCTGGAGCATCCCAACCCCCCACCCCCCCGCCCCCAGATTTACCTCTCAGCTGGCTGCTCTGGGCACGCAGAACAACACACCCACGCTGCTGGGAAGTGGAACATGACGACTTTTGCGGATTCCTGTTGCTTCCCCATCAGAGAGTCATTTTTCATCAGGGAAGCAAAGAAATCTGCGGGGACGTGAATTCTGCGCATGTGCAGTGGTGCAGAATTCCCCCATGAATAGTACAGTGGTCTTCACGCCATCTGAAGTCCTAGTTATCTTACTAACTTTTGGAAACTCAGCCATGTTTTGTGGTGGTTTGGGTTATTTTTAACCCCTTGATAGAAATATAGCTTTTTGTGCTTTACTTAGGACCCCAAATATAGGAAAATGCTGATCTTTGAAACAATGGGTTCTTTTCATTTGGTTATTGCAGCTTCTGTACAATTATTCCCAGAACTGTTGTTAAAATCTACAAAGCTTTTATTTCAAAGCAAAGTAGCACATCTTTCTAGTAAGCTCACAGCTTTTTCCTAATCAGTGTGACATCTTCAACCAGAGATTTTGGGGAATATCCACAATGTTTATGTAAAAATGGTAGCTAGACAATTTTTATAAGCTCCAGTCTGGGATCTGGACAGTTAATCTTTAAAATCTCAAAGGGTTCTAACAGAACTTGTTTTAAGCAGGATTAAACGAGTTCAGCCTATTAAGCAAGTAAAACTGATGGAATGATCCAGTCAGCAATTGGTAGTTCTCAGCCATGTGCACATTTTTATGTGAAATTACTTGGCCTTATGTCACATACCCCCATATTAATACATTGCGTATATTTAATAAAAAATGTTTTAGTTATTCAGGGCCCTTCTTGAGCCAAATTGTCACTCTGTTAAATTGAATTGATGCACCTTGTTCAGAAAAAAACTTTTAACTGTCAATACAGACTTTATTATTAAACAAGACAAATGAATTGAAACTTGGCTATGAATATATTTAGAAATACATATATTTGCATGTTTCTTACATCAGCGATTTATTTTGAAGTCTATCACTAGTAATCTCACCATAGCAAACACAACAAATGAGCTTTAAAACATGCAGTTATAGCTCTTATACAGTTTCAAAGCTTCTTAAATAACTGCTTTTCACTGATCTTATCTCCATTCTATTGATGTCTTTAGCTCTTCTGAAATAGAGATGTGAAAGACAGTATATAAAGTTAGAGTGGCACAAAGTCAAGTATTTTTTCCATCCTGGATTTAATATATGCATAAAATGGGTATGCATTTGTATTTTATAAATTCAAAACAAAACTGTGAACGGAAAATATAAGAACAGCCTAACAAATCTCAATGCTAGCATGTTTCCAATAGACTCAAGGCTTCTTTGCAGATAAGGCGTCTACAAATAAGGGCTTGTCTACACTTAAAACGCTGCAGTAGCACTGCTGTAGCACTTCAGTGAGGACGCTACCTATGCCGATGGGAGGGGTTCTGTCAGTGTAGATACTCCACCTCCCCAAGAGGCAGTTGCCAGGATTCTCCCATTGACCTAGCGTTTTCTACACCAGTGGTTAGGTTGGTTTAACTGCATTGCTCAGGATTATGGATTTTTCATGCCCATGAGCAACATAGTTATACCAAGCTAATTTTCTCCTTTAGACCAGGCCTCAGCAAGAAGCATACTGTTGAAAGCCTTGGTATACACATCTGTCTCCAAACATAAGGAATAACACAGAAGTTGCAGCTATTAAGACAATAAAGAACATCCAGTGCTGATGGCACTCAGGATGTTGAACTATGCTTCCACACACAAGGTGGATGAGGTAATATATTTTATTGGACCAACTTCTGTTGATGAAAGAGACATACTTTCAAGGCACACACAGCTCTGCACAGATCAAAAGCTTGTCTTTTTCACCAACAGAAGTTGGCCCAATAAAAGAGATTACCTCACCCAACTTGTCTCTAATATCCTGGGACCAACATGGCTACAACAATACTGCAAACAAGCTTCCACCCACCCATGTTTTGGGTTTATGGTTTATCTATGAGTATTTTTAATCATTTGTATAATCCAGAGCAGTACATTTTGAATCCCTGTTGCAAAACACAAATAAATGTGTCCAGCCTGAGACCCTTACCAAGAACAGGACTTTCATATGAACTATTTCAGCCATTTGAATAGCAGTAAGGGTAGTGCCTTTCTAGTAGAAAATGACAGTTGACTCATCTCAAAGTTTAGCATCAGTTTAAGGCAGTTTTATTCTATTTTACTCCAAGAATTAGTAAAATTGTGTATCTTTGTGCAGGACTCACGATCTCTTGATCCAAGGTAAGTGAAGGGAGCAGAGCAGAAAGCTTCATTTAACAAGTGTCTTGTCTTATTTGCAGCACAACAAAAATGGAAGGTCCTTTGTAAATTTAAATAGAAGCGTTGGGGAATGATGAGTGCTGTTTATCAACTGTTTATTTTACCATTTTTTTCCTGTTGTGCAGTTTGTTGCATAATTTAAGGACCCGGATCTAAGGCTTGGCGGCCTGTCCCTTGTGTTTCTTGGTTTATGACTGTCGGCTTTGCGGAATACGGCTGAGATGAAAGGATTTCTTGAGGATGCAAACTACTCCATTGGCCTGCTGGATGAAGGAGCAACTCTTGGAGATGTTATTGACAACTATGTTTATGAACATACACTTGTAAGTATTTGATATCCAAGCCCTTCTAGTCTAACTGAATTAATTTTCATTTATAATTTGCTAGTATTTAAATTCTTCAATTCCTAGTCTCAAATTAAGTCTGACTAGCAAGTGTATTGTAGGCAAGATGGCAATGACACATACAGTTAAGGTTGCCTAACATTTTTAATTATAAACCCCTTTCCAATTGCTTATAACTTTGCCAAATTTTAACCATTTGGGCTGAAATTTTCCATGTTTGCTCTCTGCCTCGCTGAATTTTGTTGGCAATGTTTGAGCAAAAACTGGTCAGCCACTTCCAAAAATGAGGTTGTGGGGGAAATATCTTCGCCAATGTTAAATAAATAAAATTATCCAGCTGTTCCTATGAAGAGCTTTAGCATCTATGGGATTTGGAGCAGCGACCTGAAGTTTGGCCAGTAGATAGTGCTGGGGTTAGAGAAGTGTGTTTTACTGCCCCCATGAAAATTTGCCCAGAGTTGGCTGATTCATAAGCTTCTGAAAGGAATCATTTGCACATGCTCAGAGATTGTTTGGGTCTTCCTGTTAAAAATTTCTATATTCCATCTGCACTGAGTACCCCCACTAGTTCCACAGAGCTCTTCTCTGCATATGCTAAGTGCACTGTTTATGCTCCCAGTTCCCAACGAGCCTCCTACATGCTAGGAACAGAGGGGGTGGGGTGGGGGAACAACAGCAGCTACTCTTTCAGCCTAGAGGAAGGTATGCTGCACTGGGAGCCAGGAGGAGACCATGAGTTCTAGGCTTGGATCTTTTACTGACTGGTTTTATTAATTCTGTGATGTCAGACTTTTTTATTGAGCAAGGTCTCTCACCCCTATCTTAAGAAGCAGGCAAACAGCATAAAGGGGTAATGGAAGGGTTGCACAAGGCCATCTGTGGCAGAGCTCAGAATACAACCCCTGTTCTTTAATATGCCATACCTAAGAGTTAACCAGGTTGCACAGGTGACCTGGCATTTTCCTAACTTTTGAGTGCTTGACTTTAGAACCTTAATGTACTTTTAGTATAGACTCTTGTATAGAATTGTAATTATAATCTTGATGCCTCAGATAGATGGGGGAAAGAACCCTCAAATCATGTCAAACCAACCTAATATCCTTCTCTGACAGGGTAACAGGGTTTGTGGAGGGGGGAAGCAGTAAATGTCATATCTCGACTTTAGTAAGACTTGATACTATCTCACATGAACTCTTCTTAAGCAAACTAGGGAAATATAGCCTAGTGACGAACCTACTATAAGATGGGTGCACAACTGGTTGGAAAATCGTACTCTGAGAGTAGCTATCAATGGTTCATACTGAAGCTGGAAAGGCATATCAAGTGGGGTGCAGGAGGGATCTGTCCTGGGTTCAGTTCTAGTCAGTATCTTCATAAATTTGCCTAGTGGCATAGAGAGTACACTTATAAAGTTTGCAGACGATACCAAGCTGGGAGGGGTTGCAAGCACTTTGGAGGATAGGATTAGAATTCAAAATGACCTTGATAAATTGAAGAATGGTCTGAAAAAATAGGATGAAATTCAGTAAGGACAAGTGCAAAGTACTACAGTTAGGAAGGAATAATCAATTGCACAAATACAAAATGGGAAATGACTGCCTAGGAAGGAGTACTGTAGAATAAGATCTGGGGGTTATAGTGGATCACAAACTAAATATGAGTCAACATTGTAATATTGTTACAAAAAAAAGTGAACATCACTCTCGGACATAGTAGCAGGAGTGTTGTAAGCAAGACATGAGAAGTAATTCTTCCACTATGGTCTCAGTTGGAGTACACTGCTCAGCACTAAATTGCTCAGCAAAGGCCTCCACAGGAAAGATGTGGATAAATTGGAGAAAGTCCAGAGGAGAGCAACAAAAATGATTGAAGGTCTAAAAAACTTGACCTACAAGGAAAGGTTGAAAAAATAGGATTTGTTTAGTCAAGAGAAGACTGAGGGGGGACATAAGTTTTCAAGTATGTAAAATGTTGTTACAAAGAAGAGGGTGATAAATTGTTCTCCTTATCCACAGAAGGCAGGTCAAGAAGTAATGGGCTTGAATTGCAGAAAGGCAGACGTATATTAGACATTAGGAAAAATTTTCTAATTGTAAGGGTAGTTAAGCACTGGAACAAATTACCTAGGAAAGTTGTGGAATCTCCATCACTAGATGTTTTTACGATCAGGATAGACAAAGACCTGCCAGGGATGGTCATGATTAAGGCTACGGTTTAGTCACGGGTATTTTTAGTAAAAGTTATGGACAGGTCACAGGCAATAAACAAAAATTCACGGCCCATGACCTGTCCATGACTTTTATTAAAAATACTTGTGATTAAACCTTGGAGGGTGTGGGGGGGCATCTGGGTGGGTGGCTGAGGCTGGGGGGGGGGATGCTGCTGGAAGGGAAACATCCAGGTGGTGGCTGAGGCGGGGCACCCGGGGACAGCGGACCACAGCGGCTCTGGCCGGCTGGGGACCGCTGCCCGGGGCCAGCGGACCGCAGTGGCTGGTGTGGCTGTCCTGGAGGCCACCTGAATAGCTGTCCCCAGAGCCAGCTGCTTCGGTGGCTCTGGGGTCAGCCACCCTGGCCCCTGCAGAAGTCACGAAAGTCATGGAATCCATGACTTCCATGACCTCCATGACAGACACGGAGCCCTAGTCATGACAAATACTTAATCCTGCCTCAGTGCAGGGGAACTGGACTAGATGATCTATCGATGTGCCTTCCAGTCCTACATTTCTGTGATGCTATGGCCCTGCCCCCGCTCAGGAAAGTTAAGGACTTCTTTAAAAAACAAGCACTTTTTTTTAATGGAAATATTTTGTTACCTTAAATATAGATCTTGCAAAAGCCATAATACTAGGCATTTAAGGTAGGGCCTTTCATCCAAAGAATTTTAAAGTATTCTGTAAATAATTTTAACAACTTCTTTGAAGGAGTAGGTATTGCCTTCATTTTAAAATTGGGTAAATTTTGGCACAGAAGTCAAATGAATTGTCCAAGGTCATACATTAAGCCAATGGCAGAATAAAAAATATATAATCTATTCTTCCCAGTCATTCTTTGACCTAATAAACATGAGATATTTGTGCTTCATAGGATATGTTTGCTTTGACTTCAGGTCCACCATTATAGATACGTGATTTTTATTTTTCTACTGTCCTTTGTTTATAGACTGGAAAAAATGCATTTTTTGTTGGTGATCTTGGAAAGCTTCTGAAGAAACACAATCAATGGCAGAATGTGATGGCACCAGTAAAACCATTTTACGCTGTAAAATGCAATTCCACTCCAGGTGTACTTGAGATTCTGGCAGCTCTTGGAATTGGGTTTGCATGTTCTAGTAAAGTGAGTGTTTGTTCTGTATATCCTGTTTGCCTGTCAAATTACCCTCTCTCTATCCTGGAGTCTGTTAAATCTGTCCTATATAAAACTTCTGCTCTTGGTGTTAGTTACCATGCGGACACATTCTTTGCCTTAAACTGTAAACCCTTTATTATGACTCAGTATAGCAATTCCATTTTGTACTATTGAAGCAGCTTATAATACACAGTTTAGCTAGAAGAAAACCTTATTTGAGCTATACAGATGCTCCCCGACTTACGCAAGCATTCCGTTCTGGAACGCCTTGCGTAACTCGAATTTTGCATAAGTTGGAAATGTATAACCGACCATTACGCAAAAAAACAAAAACCCTCCTATTTCTAGCTTACGGAACTTTTTCCATAAGTGCGGATTTGCATTAGGTTTGCATGACCCGGGGGATGTCTGTATATCCCCACATAAATTGAAGATAAATTCACTACTGAAACTCATTTGTCATGTGTCTAACACTTTAATACTGTCTTGTTTTTCAGTCTGAAATGGCATTGGTACAAGACTTGGGCATTGCTCCTGAAAACATTATATATACAAATCCTTGCAAGCAAGCTTCTCAGATAAAATATGCAGCGAAAACTGGGGTAAACATCCTGACTTGTGACAATGAAAGTGAATTAAAGAAAATTGCACGTAACCATCCAAGTGCTAAGTAAGTGTTGCATTGAAAAGAGAGAGAAATCTTAGTTTCTCTTATTGCTGTGGGAATTTAACTTTGACTGTGGTATGGGTTGTCTGTAAACCTGGAAGGAAGAGAAGCATGTGTGTTTTTTAATGCAGTTTACTTGCATGTATTTTGTCCAACCTTGGCTCTGGTGTAGCAGTGTTTCTCTAAAGATATTTTGTTGCAGGATTTTCTCTTCTGGGTCTCAGCTTCCTAGCATAACAGGTGGAACTCCCCATGCTCAGAAAAACCTGAGGGGAACTTTGGCTTTGGGGGCCGAACTTTCACGTCAGTATTCTGGCAGTTTAATTTCAGTACATTGGCGCCTGCCTTGGGGCCTCAGCTCCTCTTCATCTACCAGTAGTCTTACTTTGCATGGCTTCAGTGTTTTATTTCAGGATGTCATCCATTTACTTGACTCCCAATGGCTTCAATTGTCAACAAATGAGCACATACATTGAATCTTCTGCCTGGGATTTGGGTGTGTTGTGTAGTGGTGTCAGATACACCTGCAGATGTCACTAGCGAATTAAGAGTAATGGGTATTGCCTTCAGTCCCTTCTTGAGATACCCCAGCCATGGCTTAGAGTACTTCCAAAGAGAAATCACTCAATCATAAACCTGAGTCTGCTTCCGCTGCTGAGTGCTGGAGTTCTGTTAGTGCCACCCACATTGGTACAGATTCCACTTCCCTCTAGACCCAATGCGAGAGAGCTTCCTCAGAGCATCTTGTATCATCCCCATTCATAGCTGGGGGCTTGACTATGGTCTGAGCCTCCCTGTGGAAGAAGAGAGTTTTTCTCCGACACTCCCAAGTCACAGGGAGTCAGTACTTGAAGTGAATAGTACTGTGCTTCATGTTGGTTAACAAGGCGTTGCTTCCATGTAAATTTCAACAGGAAACACCAAGAAACAAGGTGCCCTGACATATCACTACCAAAGCGCCTGACTCTGTTCAGGTTCACATCTTGGAGATGGATCTGGGGAGATTCTGTGATAGTACTGTTTGGGATCTTGCCAAGTCCCTCCTGGTTATCTCTCAGGCTGTCTCAAAGGCTACAGTACTACCTTCAGTGCTTCTTTCCCACCCTGCATTGGGACCTGCTGGCGCTTCACACAATCAGAGCACCATCTGCACAGATACTACACCCACACTAAGTTGGTTTGGTTGGTGCATGAAGCATTGGCTTTGACATAGGTACCTCATGCAATTGAAGGGTCTTAACAAAAGTAGTGTAGATGACTTCTGTGCTACTGTTTATGCTCCATTAGCTTGTTAAATAGATCACTGTAGTGGGAGCAGGGTGGTGATCAGGATGACATGGCTTCTATTTGGAATCAGATAAGCTGACCACCAACTAATTGCAAAAACATCTCCATTGCAGAGCAGCAGCACATTAGCAAGACTGTGGGAGGATCTGGCTTCCTCCAGTTTCTTGAAAAACTGGCTAAGTTGGCTAGTTTGAGTTAGTGCCAGTTCAGGAATCTTCAAAGGCTATAATCAAGACTTTCACCTCCATCCAGTAGGGTTGTGGTGCCATTGCACTCTCTTTGGGTCCAGCTGGTGAAGAAGCAACAGGCTGCCCAGACTGCCCTGTCAGACAGTCAAGAAGTGTATTTCTGTTAAGTTTCCCCTCTCTCTGCCCTGCCCCATCCCCTCATGAGCTTGTGGTTGAGGTGGCCATGGCTGGAGCAAAGACTGTTCATTGTGATCCTGAGCTTCAGTGCTAAGATTCTTTTGGACAAAGGTTTACTAGTCCACAGTTGGATCCTTTTGCATTATGAAATATCAGTTCTTCACAGTCAAAGGACAGACTGACTTTTGAAAAAGGCCTCTGCCCTAGTTCAGTCCATTTCTTATGAGAAAATCCTTGGAGTCTTTAAGGTAAATAAATAATCTTAGTGCAGGAGGTCATGGACCTGGGCTGGCATCTGGTGCGGACAGCCTTTGATGTGGGTGATAGTAGCTAGCATGTGTATGTGAAAGCCTTTGTAAACTAGAAGGCCATGTTAAAGAATCATTCAATCAGAGTCAAAGTGGCTTGTGCTGTCTTCCTCATGGATGTTTCTAGCAGTCTACAAGACTGCTACATGATACTTGCTCCATGCATTTACAAAGCAGTTGCTTAGATTCAGCATATAGGAAGAAATCCCATTTTGGAGTATAAATCCTGTAGAACTTGAGTCCAAATTCTCTTACCACATAGTTTTATTTCTTTCTGGATTTCACCTGAGTTGGCTAAACTTTTAAAGTCCTTGTGTTTGTCCTACAGACTGTTCTACAGTCTGAAGTGATAAGCCTGGTTTTCCTTTTGGGAGGTATCTTATACCTTCTTTATGTACTTCAAAAATAATTCCATATTTTTTGCATTGACTTGCTGCCAGTTCCAGTCATGTGACTCTAATTACTTGCATTCCTGGAGAGAATCCTGCACAGAAAATTGAAATTCTTCTCTGAAGATTTTCATCCATCTCCATCGATGTTTGGAGAGGAACTTTTTTGAAGTGTTGGTTTCTCAGATTTTGATGCTTTTACTATTCAGCCTTCTGAGGCATTCTTTTTTTCTAATCATTTTTGTTTTGTGATTGGCTAATTTTTCTTTGCGGAGCCTTCACATTTTGCTAAAATCTGGAATTGACTGAAAGAATCCAAGGGCAGTAATTATGCTCAGGGTGTCATGTGACCTCCAGTAGGGAAAGATGGATCATGCTCCTACCCACTACCATTGCCTTTAAGGGCCAAAAAGCACCAAGATCTTAGACTTCCTCCAGCCTCACTTTAGCCAGCTGAGACCCAGGCGTGAGAATCCTGCAAGATATTTTGAGAAGAGCAAAATTACAAGGTAAAGTAGTTTTCTTTTATCTTGTACAGTTGTTTTTGCTAGAAAATCTTTACTGATGCTTTATAATGCTGTCATGAAAACTTGTCAGTTCAGTATGGCATATGTAGTCTTGGTTAACAAATGTTTTCAGACTAACCTTGGTGCTACATAACCTGTAGTGTGCAGAAATAGATATATTTTTGGTGTTTTCATATGGTGAATTCAAAGGATTTGATTTTGTCAAATAACTAGGCCCAATATATAGGTTTGTCCAAATGTTATTACAGAACATTGTATAACTAAAATTGTTTAATTTTGATCACAGAAATTTTTTTTTTAAAATCATTTACGTGTTTGTGCTGGTGAAAGAGAACCAGGAAATGAAACTGGCCAGTCTACTTTATCCAAAATGAGTGAAATGCCAGCAGTAACAAATGGCATAAATGATGAGCAAGGATGCTGAAGGGCACACGTGGAAGAAATGGAAGTTAGATTTCCCCCCTCAGGCATACCCCTTTAAACTGTCTTTCGTAAATGTTTGCAATTTGAGGATTCTATTAAATTTTTGGCAGTTGCTAGATTATCACATCACTGGTAGTAGCCAACAGTGTGCTTATCTTTGCTTGGCAAGGAGACTGTGATCTTTCCTTTCAGATGCAGAACTTGCCAGTTATCCATGCCTTTTTCATCTCCAGATTGGATTACTGCAGTTCACTCTGCATGGGGTGCTTGGACTTCACCAGTCAACCTTCAGCTAGTGCAAAATGCGGCTTTTTATGTTTGATGGTGTTTCTCACTTGGGATTGAAAATGGAGTCATTGACCCTTTTAGCTGACGTTGAGTGAGTTTGTATTAATATAATCTTGTGTTTGTACACTCTGGTTTTGATAGGCATGTCTTATCAAATTACCACTCCATAGTAATTAAAGCATAACAAGACTGATTAAATATCAATTAATGAGACTCAGCTCACGAAGCCACAAGAAATTAGCCACCCCCAGCTCTAGCCAAAGACTGAGTTAATAGGTCTTCTAGCTATGATATGTGAGACCCATTGGAGGAGGAGAAATGGCACTCCGACAGCAGCCTCCTTCTCGCAGGCAACGAGGAAGTAATGGGGGAGGGAATGGAACACCCCTTGCACCCAGTCCAACTGCCAGTGGAGTAGGGGGGTTGGGAGGGGTCTCTACATGTATCAGACTTCTACTAGACAAGGCTGATGTAAAAAGATAAACACAGCAGGCTCCAAAGGGAATCCCAGGGCACTCTTCCTCCTGCCAGCCAGGAGGAAAGGGCTGGAGAGAAGCAATCCCATTGTCACTAAAGAGCAGTTTATGAGCAAGCACTCCTTATGAGAAGGTAACCCTTTCTTTATTACAGCACCCAACAGACTCTTGCTGCTACAACAGAGTCTTAGTTGCTGCATTTCCAAATCCCTTTTCCTTGTTGGCTCCATGTTTTAGCCCCTAATTGCTAGTTTTTTCTCTGTACAGGATTGTTTTTATTAGGCTCACTTGACTCGTCCATCGATGGAGCTGGAGTATTGACAACATAATCAACATACTTCTGACAGTCTTCAGGCTTCACATGTGCTGATGATGATGTAAACCAACTGTGCCCCAATCATCTTCCCCTTCTCTTAGGCTCTTACTACATATTGCCACAGAAGACATTAGTGGAGCTGAGGAGATGAACATGAAATTTGGCACCATGCTGAAGAGCTGTAGGCACCTCATGGAATGTGCTAAGGAGCTTGAAGTCCAAATAGTTGGTGTTAAGTGAGTAGCTTTTTCATTTTTTTCCCTTTTATGTGTAATATTAAATACTCAAACTTAGATTTAACTCAAATTTTTTATTGTGCCAGTTTATTCTCCTTCCCTTATAGGGAACAATATAAAATCCAGTTGCATCATTTGAGAATTTTTGGTGACACTTATGCATTCAAATCAGTATGAAACAGAAAAGTAATTGCATTTGAGCTACAAAAAGTGTCACTGATGTTAAGGCAACCCAAAGTGGATATGTGAAATCCATTTTGCTGTAGTCAGAAAAACTGCTAGAGCGTTTCAGCCACTGACTTCCCTACTCTTGCTCTTGTGCTTTCCAGTGATTGGCTTTTATCTGTCTAACTCTGCATAGAAAAATGAACAGTTGGACTGATAAAAGGCAGTAGGTCAGTGTGGGAAAATCAGTACAGATACTGGGTGAGATAATGCTGTAAGATTTAACTATGAAAAGTTTTTAATGATGTCCATAGTAATCACTTCAAGTTCAGAGTTCTAGTAATTTTAGTTTTTGACCTGTAGATGGCAGAGGATCTTCTTGAAGTGTTTTTAGTCTTCCTAAACTGAGTGACCTGTGGTACTTAAATCTAGAGTAAGCTAGATACACAAAGATGAAAAATTCTCATATCACACTGATCAAAAATTGATGCACAAATTGTCTGTATGCTTTCAACTGCTGCAAAAACTTGTGGAACACTAATGAACATGTTTGATAGATTAAGGAAACAGTCAAAATAAGAGGAATATTCCTTTATCAGTCACCGGGGTGGGTTAAAAAAATCTATTTTTTTTTTTAACCTAAACACATTGGATTTTTTAAATTAAATACATTTTTCTTTTTAAATAAATGAACCTATTTAAAATTGAAGTTGGCAACATATGTTAATGCCTAAACTTACTATAATCTCTTAAAAGTATTAAAATTTAAATAAAAAAGTATTCAAACAGTATATGTTTGCTGCCATAGCTTTAAAGAAAGTCAAAGCACTGAACTGATGGAAGTCATTGGCTAAGCACCTGGAACCAGAGTGTGTTGAAATGCGGAACCAGCTTTTGACAGCATTAGCTGCTTCTGCAAGTACAGAGATAATATTTTCTTCATTTCAATTTATTCAGTTAGTTCAGTTTAATGACTCATTCATTCAAATTTGAGAAACCAATTGGGAGCTGAAAAAGCAGAGAAGCTGCTTCTGCTCTTCCAATATACAAAAATGAGGAGGTGTCTGAAGATGAGATGAACTACTTCTAAATCCTGAAGGACATGACCAGAAACAATTCAGTTCGCTAACTGCAGATACTTCCTTTGTTTATAAATCTGTTTTAAATGCAAAATATGTTTTGATAAACTTTATGTATCCAGCACACTTAAGGTATTTTTAACTAATTTTAAAAAGTTTTGTGCATTTTTAATTGAATTCCAATTTCCATTGAAATGTAGTTTGACAAACATCAGAAGTAAAAATATTAATCTAGTAAACCATCTAGAACTGCATCATTCACCATTTTCTAACATAATAAAATGCAAAAATCTGAATAAATGTATGTAAGCTATATAATTGCTTTGAAATAATGTTTATAGATAATGTATCATCCTGGTTAGCAAAAAGAAATACCAAATTTAACCAACCAATGAGAATCACCCTTTCTTTAGAAAAATAACTAAAATGTACAAATGCAAAACAGGATGAAAATTGATTTAAATTGATCCATCGTGTCTGTCACAATGAAGACTTAGACTCTGGATGAGGTATCAGTAGCTTAATCGGTCTAATTTTTGTCACTTCAGTAACCGTCATATTGTGGCTGAGCTTACTTAGCACTAAGGATGAGAAGAGAATACAAATTGTCAGCACACAGGGTTAAATCAGTTTGTCTAAAACTGTTCTAACTTAATTTTAGAAATGAAAATCAGTGGGGCCACATGGCTCACAAGGGTCCAAAAAGAGGCAGAAAATATAGCTGACTCTGAGTTTGTGCCTTCATTGTCTCCTTCCCTCTTTCAGATGTTTGTCCAAATAATCTGGAAAAGAACGCTTAGTCCATCCTTGTGGCAGTGCAGGATTGGGCTCTAAAATATGTTAAAATACTCTATCCATTTTAGTTCAAACTTACATTCTACTCTTTCTCCTTCCCATCATTTGGTTGTGGTGAGCTTTTTCTTCTAGCTACGGGTCATCTGTTTTATAAATAAAAAACGGTACAAAATGCAAAACAGCTTATAGAATACTGAGTGAATACATGTTGCATATCAAAGAAGTATGCACATGTTAGAGGTTGAATGACTCAAGTGGATTGATAATGGGATACAGAGCCTTTCACCTCTAGATTGGTTCTTACCCAAGTTAGTAGTGATCAGAAGCGACCAATGGCTTTTCTGACCTTATCTGATGCAGAGTTAGTGTTTTTCACAAGCGCCGAAGCTTTATATTATAGGGGCTTGAAACATACAAGATGTAAAATGAATTGGTCTTCATCTAGTTCCCTTGGACAAGAGTCACCCTCTTAATTGGCACTTTGTTGGAAGCCTGAGCAGAGTGGTCTAGACTGCATAACCATGGAAACTGAATTACCTTCTCATCCCTTGTGTCCATATGGATATATTTTTATAAAGGAAATGTATACCTTCACAGTTGTATTTATATTTTTGTGTTCTGTACATAAATAAGACCTCATCATTCTTCTGGGGTGTCAGAACAACAAAGTTCATAAGCACTAGGTCACTTTTAAAAGGCCCTGTGCTAGTGAGTGGGCACAAGGAACAATTTTTCTGAATAAACATGGTGTCACAATATTTTAAATTTCCAGGATGAAAATGTTTATTTTCTTGTGTCATCGCAAGATAGTGATCTTAGATTTCGAGACCAGACTTCTGGCTTAAACTGTGCTCTATTCCTTTTATGTCTGTAGTTTTAGATATGAGAAAATGACTGGTTTGACTGATCTGTTCTTAGACTCTTGTTTCCTAGCTAATGTTTTCTGTTCACCTGTTTTGAATTACCCCATCTCATCTGTGCCATCAGTCTGTCTAGTCCACAATCTGGTCTACAATGAAAATAATCATAAAGAGGATAATTGGGAATAACTGTTCCCAATTGTTATAATATCTACTGTTTTACTGTGTCCCTCTGGTCATTTGTACAGTTCTATAAACATGCATTACAAAAGTTTTAATTCTCCAAACCTAAAATTCTGTTTTTAAAAAAATCAAAACTGATATGGACACTGTGAGTAGGGAGGTGCTAGGACTGTTTTTGGAGTATTTTCTGTAACTGGTTCTCAGATGCTATCTCACTACTGAGCCTATTTTTCTTTATAAACCTCTTTCAATAAACTATTTCTATGGACTTGCCCTTAGGCAACTTTAACTGTCATATCTTGAAAACACTGACACTCAAATTTCCTTTTTTTAAAAGATTAGAATGAAGCCATTGTTAGACATTCTTAAATTGTGCTATACAAATTTGTCTTGTGTGTGCAAATGGGCTAGAAGGAAAGCAAAGATGTTTTGAGGTCTCTTCCTATTGCATAAATTTCTCGTAAACAAATAAAACCTTAATCACCTATGCATGGAATATACATGCATTTCTACTACTATAAATACGTGTGTACTGTCAAAACATTACTTCGTTTGTCAAATTCCCTTGAGTGATCTGCTATACGTCCCTATTGGTCTAGATATACCAATGTTCTGTTGTTAATGCAGGTTGTAGGTTTGTGTATTTATTATATTTCATTTCTTTTAGATTTCACATTTCAAGCTCTTGCAAGGAACCTCAAGTGTACATTCATGCTATAGCTGATGCTCGGTGTGTGTTTGACATGGCTGTAAGTAAATATGCTAACATACGATTTAATAGAGGAGTCATCCTACTATATTCTCGCTAATGGAGATAAGAAAAATTCTTTCCTAAAATGTGTATTGCTAGTCTGATAAGGACCCTTCAAATAACAGAATGATTACACACAACTGAATAGTAAATTATAGACCTTACTGAATATTTAATGTGAGACAAATAAAATCTTCCACTAAAACGGATTGTATTTTATAATTTTAATTAAGGGCCAATGGGTGGTGGTGTTTTTGTTTTGTTTTGTGGTGGTGGTGGTTTTTTTTAAAGTCCAAGATCTCAACTCGAGCAGAATACAGTTAAGAATTTATTGTAAATTCTTTCTAAGTTAAGCTTTCTTAACTTAGCTTTCTAAGTTAAGAATACATTGTAAAAGTAAACTAAAATGTTTATCTACCAAGACCAGTGAACAGGTTTTGTTTTCTCTGCATGAGATGAAATCACTACCAACTGAACAATGCATGTGGCTGCCTTCCTTATGTTGCCGTATATAATTATGTCATTGGGTTTTGCGGTGGGGAGGAACAGAACTCTGATCCTCTTGGCAAAAAGGAACTGACTTGTTGACACTGGTAAATTAATTTGTTGTTTTAGGCTATAAATGTATACTACTTGTGTTAAGGAAACAGATTTTTGTATTGAAAATATTTCTCTTCACTTTAAGTGAGAAAGAAAAGTTTAAGCTCGACTTCAGCAAAATCCAAGATCATGACCTTACTGTGATTATTGCAAAATTATTGATGTGATTAATTACACAAGGAAGACAGTTGAAGTTCCCACAGCAGTTTTAACTCTGCCCCCTTGTGCATATGCATTACAAGAGTGGCTTTCATTACATTATCACACCATGCAGCCATTTATATTATACATAATATTATGTGCATCTAACGTTAAAAACATGTAATTCTTTTCCACTAGATTGTAGTAAAGTATTTGCTGAACAGTGTATTGCACTGTCAAGTTTTGTGAGAAAAGACTCTTCTACTGCATACTCAGAGGCCAAATTAAGGTTGCTTTACTTTAGAATTGCTTGATTTATTTAGTCTCTTTACTAATATTGCAGTAATGTTTAATGTAGAATAATACTAGGTATAACCGGAGTGAATTGTTCTCTGGAATACTCTTTACTGTATTTAAGATGTCACAATTTCACATTTAAAGCATGAGCATACAATATTGAATGAGATTGGAGAGCTCGTCAATAAAAACTTTAATTTCTATTGTCTGCATACTTAAAGGCCTGTCTATACTTCCTTTTAGGAAGAATTTGGCTTTAAGATGAACATGTTGGACATTGGTGGGGGCTTCACAGGTTCAGAACTTCAGCTGGAAGAGGTATGCAACTCAGTGGAAGTTAGAACTAGCTTGCCTTTCATTTGTCGGTTTGGAGTTTTTGACATGTCAGTTTCCAGCTAATATTGATAGTTAAAACCTGGATTGACAGTAGATTTAAAACCATGGGGATGGACTGGATTATATGCCACAATTGCACTGTGGAGTCATTAGCAGAGAATTAGTACAGATCCATGAAGTCCTGCTAGTCTCTCAATTCTGATTCAACCAATGTTACATAAATTAGTCACAAAATTGTCCCTCAGGTGCTAAGGATTTACAGATGAGAGAAACAGTAACCATTCTAAATTGACAGCAAACCAAAGCCTCAGTTATCCTTGTAATTTTTAAAATTTGCATGCTTCTTACCATGAAGATTTTAGCCCTTTCTTCTGGAGGCAGTTCTTTTTACTGTGTTCATAGTGGATGAATACTGACCTGCTGCTGCAGCTGGAATTTTCAGTATTTTGGTTTAGAACTGAAGACATAATGCATCAGCTGGACATTTGCTTTAATGAGCCAAATTAAGGTTGCTTTACTTTACATCTGGCTTCTGCTTTGCATCCCACAATGCACCGTGAGAAATCCCGGAATGCACACTGCTCAGCAGCAAAGGACAATGCAATACCTCCAAGAATGCCAGCAAGCCTCCCTCATGTGTATACAGTGAAACACACTGACAGAGAGCACACCATCTACACTGAAGAGTGACAGTGGCATAGCTACATTTTTTTTAGGGATGTTAAAAATCCACGCCCCTGAGAGACGCAGTTAAGCCAACCTAAAGCCTAGTGAGGACAGTGCTAGGTCAACAGAGAAATTCTTCCATTGACCTAGCTCCACCTCTCAGGGAGGTGGGTTACCTACAGCTATGGCAGAACCCCTCCTGTTGCTGTAGTAAGTGTCTACATTGAAGCATTTTAAGTGTAGACAGAGCCTCATTTGATCTCTGGTTTGGTGTCATGACCTGGTCACTAGTGAATAATGGCGATTTAGACTGATCACTGTATTTTGTGTACTCTTAAAGATAAACTCCCAAAGCCTAGGTTGCTGAAATGAATAGGTTCAAACAGCTAAAATCATTAATAGAACTTTGAAAATTGCCTACTTAGTCCGTGTTTGCCTTATCAAGCAGCTGTGGACAAGTCATGCAAGACTATGGCATTAATATTGAAGTTAAAAATCAGATTAATGTTGGGTAAATTCAGAGAATACCATCTGTTTCTTTATTTGTCAAGATGCAAAACTGTAGTTGACCAAATTGCTCTGTTTTGTTTTTGTTTTTTAAATGCAACCCTGATGCACTTCATGGATTCGTAAATAATTTTACATCTGTTGTACTACAACCACTTTGAAATTACTTAAATGGGTGATTCGGTCATTTGGATGACTTGGACTTAACTGGAGACTGAAGATAATGATACTTAACTCCTTTGTAAAGTGCTTTGAGATCTACTGATGAAAAGCACTATATAAGAGCTAGCAATTATTATTAGGTGCCTAGGTATGGCATCAGTATCCCAAAAGTAACACCCATTTTATTTTTGTAAATCTTAACTGTGGTGTCTGAGACTTGATTCAGCAAAGGCCCAATATGGGTAGTAAAAATCAGCTTGTGGCCAACTCACCAGCACTGTAAATTGTTGGTTGGGAATTTGTGACAGAGGACTTCTGTGTCTTGATTTATCAATCAAGCACCTTTCACAAGAACTGTAAATAAAACTTCAAAATAAATCAGATGAGCAATCTAAACATTAGCTGTGACTTCAATTTCCTAGGTTAATCATGTCATCAGTCCATTGTTGGATGTCTACTTTCCTGAAGAATCCGGTGTTAATGTGATTGCAGAGCCTGGATGTTACTATGTTTCATCTGCATTTACTCTAGCAGTTAACATCATTGCAAAGAAAGCTGTTGAATATGATAAATTTCTTCCCTCTGGAAGTAAGCAACTTTTTTTTTTTTGTACATGTGTGAATCAGTACAAATAAGTCTCCATTTTTGTCAGCATAGCTCAATTTTATGTGTCGATCATGAATTATGCTTTTTTTTTATATTTTTTTCTATTCAGTAACTGGCTCATACTTGAGTCTCAGTCTATTTTTTAAGGTTCTGTCCCTATGTTAATCTTAGGCTTGACAGAATTAAGTGTTGATTTTTTAAAAATAATTTTGACTGATAATACTGATGTTTGTTTTGAAGCATATTTTTTTCATTTATATATAATTTAAATTTTCACATTTGTGGGATATTATGCGGCGTGGTCAGACAATACTTACTTTGTTATAGTAGATGTTGAGTTTCAAAAAGTCCAAATTTTTTATAACTGTGAAAACAAATTATCAACATCACATGTCAAAATATATTAAATGAATATCGTTAATCAAACTCTAAATTTCTCAAGCAGCGCTTTTCTTTCTTTGCCTATCTGTACACTTTGTTATCATTGGTGGAAATATTTTTTCATCAGTTGGTGTGTGTACAGTAAAAGACATTTACTGATAAAAATCTAATCCTTCCAAGCCTGGTTAATCTGCACCTCTGTTCATTTTCTGTTTTCTGGGTTTGTTTGGCATTGCTGGTTGTTTCCTCACTAGTAAATAGATGTGACTCATTTATGATCTTCAGGCATCCTATCAGCATATAATTAAAGCTGAATTAGGGGAAGATGGAAGAACATGCATTGGAGCTACTATTGTCCCTCTTGTACTAAAAATGGAATTTTTGGATGTTTTCAGTAATGACTAGAATATTAAGTATGCAAAATGTGTCCTTAAGCATAGCCTTTAGGGGTAGGCTTGAATTGATATTGTAGTCTCATAATTACACTTCTTATCCCAGTGCATGTTTTACGTACTCTTGGGTGTCGGGGGGGAATTAACTGTTACAGAGGATTGCAAATTGAATGTTTATTATAAAAATATGTAACCATTTTTCTTCCAGTGGAGCAAACCAGGAGTGATGATGAGCCAATCTTTATGTACTACATGAACGATGGTGTTTATGGTTCTTTTGCAAGTAAATTGTCTGAGAAATTTAATACCATCCCAGAGGTTCACAAGGTGAGTCTATATCATATTCTTACAGAATTTACAAAGCATTATTCTTTTGCAGGGAAATTCTGCAGATCCATTACAATGGATCTTACTCCTGTTTGCAGCTTCTTTGGAGCAGTACTGCCCCAATCACAGGCGCAAGTGGCCACAACCCTGAAGACCCAGCCACTTCTAGCCAGTTTGAACTGCCTCCAGCAGCTGCAGGAGGGCTTTACCAGATGACCTGCTCAGAGCAACAACCAACCAAACAAAAAGGATTCTAAGTATTACTGGGCTTTTATTTGGCCTTGGAAAGGGTGTAGGTGGGGGGAGGAGTTGTGCTCTGCAGCAGGCTTGCTGAAACACCTTTTCCCCCCGCCCCGTTTTTATACCAGGGTTGCTGGCTGCAGAAGTTTCCATTGTAACCTTTCTGGACATGCCGCTCTGGTGGAACAGCTTCAAGGCAATTAGAGGAATAGAGAAGTTGGAGGAAAAGGGCACAAAAATGTCTGGGCTAACTGGACCCCACTTAGCATAGTCGGCTATGCCAGAACTGCCTGGCCAGCTGAACTCAGCTTGTTTTGCCACTCAGCCATGCACTACTTGCCTGACTAATGGGACCCTGCTCATTGCAGGTCAGCTATGCCCCATACTGCCAGTCCTGGAGGGCTGAGGTAGAGAACAGCCCAGACGTGGAGGAACAAGCAGCAGTAAAGGGCCTCTTACTTGTTTCTAATTTACTTCACCCTCTTTAACAAGGTGGGAGTCATCCCTTATGGAAGCCTGCCTTGCCCATCCTAGGATTCAGTGAGACAACATCGGTGTTAACTGTTGTGTAGCACTACAGGGCCCACTAGGGGATTTAGTAAGACAAAAGGGCTGTGCCATGTGATTATTTTCCCTGCTCCTTCCACAGGCAGGGATTTAAGGAGCTTCTATAACATTCAAGGGCTCATCTCAAAATAATGTTATTTCTGTAGCACAGCAGGTGCAGTTCTTTCCCCTGATCCCCTCTTTGTTGATATTCTATTACCATAGGTAAGGCTAAGATTACGTCACAGAGGTCATGGAATCTGTGACTTCCAGAGACCTCTGTGACATTTTCTGCTTCAGCCAGGGGCTGGAGCTGGCAAGGGCCCCCACAGCTCCCAACCGCTGCGGGGTGGGGCTGCAGCTCCCAACCGCTGCGGGGTGGGGACAGACCCCCACATCTCTGAGCACCTTGGGGGCCACGGACCTGCGCTGAGTGCTGGACCCACCCCTCCCTATTTTGTCAGTTATTTTTCGTAAAAGTCAGGGACAGGTCATGAGCTTCTGTGAATTTCTGTTGATGGCCTGTGAGCAGTCTGACTTTTACTAAAAGTAACCGTGACAAAATCTTAACCATAGGCTGCTGAGGCCACTCTTCTTTTGTCCTATAGAGCAAGGGATAGGCAATACTCAGCAGCTGCCCCCCCCCACCCCTTAGAGTTAATTTCTCTTGCTTTTTCTTCCCTATAAATCTGAGAAGAACATAAAAGGCACACTATGGACTCTGGCCACAGGTGTCACTCCTCCACAGAGGAAATTTCTAAGGCTTGATTTTTCCTAGTAAAAAGGAGGAGAAAAAGGTGCAGGGACTTCCTTCTACTTGTAGGTCACCACAATACAGGAAGAACTCAGTTTTTGTTTTTTTTTTCTTTTGAGGAGTAATCAGAAACCATTCTCAGGAGTATTTGGTGGGGACTCTGTATGCCTCCAGATAAGCCCCTACAAAAGGAAACATGGGGAGTGTGAGGGAAGGGGAATTAGTTCATCCACAAACAAATTTGTGATAATTTGTACTCCCAACGTTGATGCAGTCCTCATGTTAAAGAAATTGATAGTGTTTATATAAACACTATAATTTAAAAAACAACCCCCAACCCTTTTGTGCCTCCACATCTTGGACTAGAACCAGGCATACGTGGCCAGACTACCTATTGAACATTGTGTCATTAAGAACAGAAGATCCTTCAGACCAGCAGCCTGGTTGAGAGATTTCCTTAACCCTCTCACATCAGAACAGCCTGAGATTTACAGTAAGAGCAATGAGCTAAACTTAGTCACACCACCAGCTCTGCCTGAGGCTATGGAAGTCCAATCAGGTACTGGTTACTGCTGAGTAGCACAGGGAGCACACGCTTTTTGTGACTATAAACAAAGCTGTCATGGAAACCTGCTTACATAAAATAATTTAAAAAACGTACTAATCATGTAAGGAGCCCTGATAACTCAACAGGAGAAACAGACTCTTCTTTGGGTCTTGGCACTCTTTGATCCAGCTAAGACTTATAGGAGGGATGCCCAGCTAGCTGATTGATACACAAAGTGGCACAAGAGACAGAGATGATACAGCAAGAAAACGCTCTGCCTTTTTCAAGCAAACATGATTACAAGGTGATAATATATGATGTAGTTTCCCAAATAGAGGGCATATAGAAAGAAATTTGTAGTGGTGGATCAATGCTACATCAGAAGAATGAATCTTAGGCAGATAAATCCAGTCCAGCTTACCAACTTCCTGCTCCCCCCCCCTTTTTTTTAAGCTGACAAACACCAGAATATAAAGACTGCAGTATATTGTCTGCTTCAGAATGGGGTAATTGGGCTCCCAGAGAACAAGAAGGCTTAGACTTCTACTCCATCTGCTTCCAGGACCAAGTTCCAAAGAGTGGAAGTTCTTGAATGGATTTTCTCCAAAGTCACAGGTCAGGATGGAGACCCTAAGTTCTACCACTGCACCAGCTTTTCATCATTAATTGATCTGAAGAACACCTATCTACACATTATTATGCAACCCTCCCGGAGGAGATATTAGCATCATGTGCAACAGACTCACCATTACCCATATACTCCTTTATTCTTTGGCCTACCTGCCTTTCTGAGGCTGTCCTCCAAAGTGCTTTAACATTGTTTCTGCTCAAGCAGAAAAAGGTTCTTGTATACACGTGCTCAGATGACCTGTTCATCAGAGCACTGTTCCTGGAAAATGCCCACACAAGAGAGTCACCATACAGTCCAGATTCTTTCCTGTCAACATCACAAACATCTAAATGATGGCGCTATTACTTCTGGGAATAGTTATAGCTATCAACCTCCACTCCAAGCCAGTGGTCAGAAAGCACAGTGTTCTTCGTTCTCCAGTCACATCTAACAGGGCTCTGATGTCTTGGATAAGAACAGAAGTCTCTCTAGGAACAACATACTGTTGAGAGACTCCACATGGTTTTTCTCCATAAATTTCTTGAGCATGTAGGACTGTCCTTTTTGTGCCATTGCCGGGGTACTTGGAAGAAAGGGTATGTTGCAATGAGGAGATTGGTGGAGAAAACCTATACCAGCTTCAAGAGCAGGAAACCTCATTCAGGGAACAAATTTCATCCAAAGTTAATGCAAGAACAGACTTCCAACACAGTATCAAGTGGATCAAAATAATTAGGCCTTAAGAGCTGTCCTGATCAGCCAAAGTGTAGCGGTGATCCCTTACAACACTTCAGCAATAGCTTTAAACAAGGACAAAGGTACCAGATCCTCAGCCTGGATGAGCATCTAATCTTTGCTGTTCCTGGCTGCATATTTTGAAAAGAGCAAAAAAAATCTTCTGTATATTCAAGCACTACATATAGAATGAATAAATAAATATAGCACCTGATTAAAGTAAAGGAAAAATCCAGGAAAGTGGAGGCTACAGCCTAAGGTCTTTGAGTGGAGTCAGCCCTGAGTCACCAGTGTGTTAATGGACATATCTGCAGGCAGAACCCAGCAAAGACGAGTCTCCTTTCTGATGAATAAATTAATAGGCTGCAGCCATGATTATGCACCTTTCTTCCAAGGCCAAAAGCCTGACTTTCTGTTTCTGATCACAACACTCTCCAGGACAAACAAACAAGGCAGAAGTGAGCCATGGTGACCCCCACGCTGTCATGGGAAATCCTGGGTCTCATGTATAATTCAGGTGGCAACCCCACTCAGCTATGTCTCCTCTATAAAAAGAATCTGCTCCCAAGGACAAAATTCTGTACCCAAGCCCAGAAAATTAAATCTTAACTACATTATGTGAGAGGTATCAATTAAAATAGGATATTCAGATGTGTTAACACTACCTCTTTAGCCCTGAAAAAGTATTTTTACAAACAGGGCATCTTCAAGGGCCTGGTCTGTGTGTCGTGTTACGTTATTGGCCTGCATGGAACAGGCAAAGCATGCCTCCCACCAACAATAACTGGTGCTCATTCATTCAGAGTCACTCATCTCCCTGTCTTCTCATTGTTCCTGTTTTCCCTTCATGGAAATGCACTGCTTTTAGACACCCTGTTGTAATGGCTCTGTGGACTTTCCCTGTGAAAAATACGAAAACTTACCTTATCTTTTCTCAAAAGTTTCCTTTCTTCCAGTAGTAAAAGTCCACAGATCCAACCCAGCACAAGGACTGTGGTCTGAGGTAGGCTTAAACCATCACATTCGCCTCCATTTTGGGGGGGACACACTATATATTTCCTTGGGGTGGAATTTGAAGTTGGGGGCATAATATATTTGGGGTGGAATTTCAAGTTGCTCTGCAGCAGAAAATGTTTATGAATTCTTATCTGTTAACCTGTGAATTAACCTTTAGAGGACTTTGCACTACAAAACATCTTTGGAAGTATCTTGAACTGGCTAGGTCTTTAGGGGTATGGCCACTCCCAGACTGCCTGATTGACAAGGCTTTTCTGCCCCAAGAAACTGCAAGCAGGTGTGAGACCTATTGTAATGGATCTGTGGACTTTTCCCCTAGAAGAGAGGAATTTTTCAGATATAAGAACATTTATATTACTTTTTTAATGTGTCTGTAAAACTTTCTTTTGCCTTAAACTAAAGCCTGACTTGACTGGATTGTTTTTGTAGAAATACAAGGAAGATGAGCCTCTGTTTGCCAGCAGCCTTTGGGGTCCATCCTGTGATGAGCTTGATCAAATCGTGGAAAACTGTCTTCTTCCTGAGTTGAGTGTCGGAGACTGGCTGATCTTTGATAATATGGGTTCTGGTACCTTGGGTCAACAGTCTGCCTTTAATGATTTTCAGAGGCCACCAGTTTACTACATGATGTCTTTCAATGACTGGTAAGATGATGTTCTCAATATTTGCAGTGGTAGTTGCACTCAGCTTTCCCCCCCGAAAACATTTAAACATAATCCTACAGTTGGATGCATGGTATTGATATAGGAAGATTTATTTCAAAAATCAACTTACTTCATTTTTCTTTTTTACAATGCTACCACACTGTTTCACCTTTCAAACTGGACTACATTAACATGGACTAGGTATTCTCACCAGCAGTGTCCATGCAGGGCAGTTAGAGCACAATGGTTTGGAGTGCTCTACAGTCCACAGCCCCATAGTCTACCCTGTGGTGCGATGGAGACGAGTCTTTCATTTAAGACAATAGTAGAATGCATACAGTTGTAGGTATTGCTTTGCTGGCTGATGAGTCTCTGTGCAACTGTCCAATGTGTTAAAAGGAAGTGTTGTGATAAGCACAGCCTATGTAACATATATTCACCAGTAAATACCTCAATGCGAGTATTACTAAAGTGGAAAAGGTGAACTTAATCTTAAGTCTGCCAAATAATTTTTTTGTTCGACTGAATACTGAATTTAATGCTGGTTTCCAATGTTAAGCCGCCATGAGAACTTTAAACTCTCAGGTCTATGCTTCCTGAACATACCTCTGTTATACTTTCTGCTGTAGGTATGAGATGCAAGATGCTGGAATTACTTCAGACACATTGATGAAGAACTTCTTCTTTGTGCCTTCTTGCATTCAGCTGAGCCCAGAAGACAGCTTTTCCACTGCAGCTTAAACAGGCAGTAACGCTTCATGTAGACTTGCAGTTGCAAGCCTGTAGTTTGTCTGGTCAACATTCCACTGTGGAATTAAAATGGAACAATCTTGAATTCAACTCGTTCTCTTCAAAACTTGAAAATTAGTAATAGCCAATTGGGACCAGGCAAAACCAGCTACAACTACAATTCACTGGGGGTGGGAGGGTTAAATAATAATGTCCAGATTTAAACTTGCCAGTTCGTTCAACCCCTGAGCGTTTAAATAAAATATGCAACAAAATGGATGACTTAGTCGAGATGGAAACCCATCACTTGGGTTCTCAGTTAAACAGTTTACATACAAGTACACAGTTTTTATACAAAGGATTCCTGTTAGAAAGTCTTGTAAAGTTATTGTCTTTCACCCAGATATATCAAATGTCAGTGGGAGACTAGTGTGACTTCATTAGAGATGTTCAGTGTATTTAGTGTGTAAATTTGTGCTTTGAACTGTAGTTCAATAAATGTAAAATTGCATCATAGTATTTGTTGTATTTGACCCTTGACGTAACCCGTGTATGATTGCAATAAAACTTTGTGTAGATTTTTTTTTTCCCAGGCTCTCTTTGTGAGAGGGACTAGATAGCAGTGAAATGGATATGTAGATTGTTTTGAAAGGATTTTTTTTTTTCTTCCAGCCTATTTCAGGTTTAGGTTGGCAGAACATTAATGAATAATTAATTTAAGTTTGGTGAACTAGTGTGAAGGGAAGTTCAGATAAGTTCCTGGAAAGCTGAAATGCAGTTTGTGATGTTGCTTCAACATAAACTAAATTATATTAACATTTCTAACACCAAAAATAGCAAACCTTCAAGACAACAGTAGTGAATAGCAGTACCTAGGAGAGGTAGCTGTAGCTAGAATGCATGTAGAACCCATGTAGATTACAGCTGTACTGAATGTTAAATAGAAATGTCAGGTCCCTTTTTTTGAACCAGCTTTATAGAAAACCTTCAACTAGTCCTGTACAGCATTAAGTCTTTGTAATAGAAGGGCTACATGTCTTCAGAAACCTTGATGCTCTTTTGCACTGTACTTTGTGTATTTAAGTAACAGCAAAGCACACCAACTATATATGCCAACTAATCTTAACTGAAGCTGTTAGTGGAATTACTTGTTCTGTTATTAAAGCATCTTGATTCTTTTCTCCCGTCCTCCCCTTTTTCATTTTAACTTATTTTTCTTGCTAATCTGAAACTGTTAGTCAGCCATGAGTATTTCACAATCCTATTAAATCCTGGATCCCTGAATCAAAAGGATTAATTAGAAAATGGAGATTATTTTTTTAGCTCCTTACCCGGAGTTGTGAAATTTCCACCTGACATGTACACATGCATTTAACATTAGTGCTAACTGGCAGGAAATCCAAGTTTGCAGTTCAGAAAGGCTAAGAATACATAATATTTTATACCTTTAAAGGTGGAAAGAAAGTGAGTTTATCATGGAATGATCCTTTCACCTTGGACTTCCAGCGCCAAGGGCTTGCCTACACACAGTTCTAGATCTGTAATTACATTCACAGTAGGGAATTGTACCATGCTGTTTCTCAATTGATAGAATAGTGTAGGCCAGCCTTAAGGGAAGCACTAAGATACCTAAATACTTCTGAGGATTTGGGCCTAAGTACCATTGAAATCAGTGGCTGTTAGGTGCTTAAATACCTTTGCACCTCTGGGCTTAACTGTCTTGTGCTTTTTGAGTTAATGAATTGTTCCTGTCTTTTGAAGGGATAGACTGAAGATGGTCATGTTATAAGAATTATTTATGGGGGTTAATACATTGGGAGTTAGTTTCTTATGGAAAATCTAGCCATCAGACCAAATTTCTCTAGGTTTGAAAGAGTCCATGTACTCTAGTCCTCCAATGGCAGGTTTGGCTGAAACCCTAAACAAATATAAAACATCAGCTAGGGTTATCTGAGATCATGTTGAAAAATTCTGCTGTGGAGCCTTAAGGAGAATTGTTTTATGTTGAACTTACAGCTCAGTTGCAAATTCCTTTGTAAATGTTATGGTGGTCACTTCAGACATATCTATTGTATATGAAGACAGTTTGCCATAAAAAAAATTAAGTTTGAACCCAGTATGTATTTCAATTTGATGCTAAAAATTGTTACCATCATTTGTTTACAATATTGTAATCTCAATTCAAACGTTAAAATATAAACCTGAATGATTTCTATATAGTAATTGAACTGTAATGTAGCTTTGTCATGCTGAATACACATCTACAACTTCTTGCTCAGTGGCTCAGAAAACTACTCTTGTGGACCTTGGTATGAATACAGTGGGGATTTTAAACCATTAATTTCCATGATAATATTCAAGCGCTGTTTCAAGTACACTGGAATAATCATGTATGTCCCAAACAGGCTCAGTGTTACACCATACCTATGTTCACAAAACTATTAAACTATAAAGCCCAAGATCTACTGCTGCTTAACAGGCCCTACCACCAGCACCCTCAAACGGCCCTCACTGTGTGGCAGGAGGTGAGTGAAAGAGGCTCCCCTACATCAGTTCTTAAGATAAATAAGAGTAAGGCCCTAGTACTTACCCGAGAAGATACTGTCATCCCTGCAAGGGAGATGGGACCCAGAAATGGTAGACCCTGACTTTTGTTGCTCATGGAGTAGATCAGGGTACCTGCTGCCACCTCTCTGGGAAGGAAGGTAGGCCCACAGTCACTTCAGGTGCTGGACAGGGTGGGGGGCAAGCTGTGGCATGCCAATGGCACTTGATAGTCTTAATCCATTCCTGCCTGTGGTGAACAACCAAGCCTTTTAAGTATTCAGCCCTTCAGTTCACACAAATAATAGCCTAAACTTATTACTTTAGATCAGTAGTTTTCAAACTTTTCTACTTGTGACCCCTTTCACATAGCAAGCCTCTGAGTGCTTATAAATTAAAAAACACTTTTTAATATATTTAACACCATTAGAAACGCTGGATGCAAAGCAGTGTTTGGAGTGGAGGCAGACAGCTCGCGACCTCCCATGTAATAACCTTGCAACCCCCAGTTTGAGAACCCCTGCTTTAGATCATCTCCTTTCCTACCTGAAGCCAACTAGAATCTGCATCCTGAGAGTTTCCATGGTAAAATGCAATTAGCTATAAACCCATTTTTTATTAAAACCCTTCTTAAAAAGATGGTGGTCATGCAGGCATACCATTTACTACTGCAGTATTATAGAGTCAAAGATTTTAAGGTCAGATGGGACCATTATGATAGTCTAGTCTGACCTGCACAATGCAGGGCACAGTATATCACCCACCCACTCCTGTAATAAACCCCTAACCTATGTCTGAGCTATTGAAGTCCTCAAATCATGGTTTAAAGACTTCAAGGTGCAGAGAATCCTCCAGCAAGTGACCCGTGCCCCACGCTGCAGAGCAAGGCGAAAAATTCCTTCCCGATCCCAAATATGGTGATCAGCTAAACCCTGAGCATGTGGGCAAGACTCACCAACCAGACACCCAGGAAAGAATTCTCTGTAGTAACTCAGATCCCGCCCCATCTAACATCCCATCACAAGCCATTGGGCATATTCAAAGATCAATTAATTGCCAAAATTAGGCTATCCCATCATACCATCCCCTCCATAAACTTATCAAGCTTAGTCTTGAAGCCAGATATGTCTTTTGCCCCCATTGTTCCCCTTGGAAGGCTGTTCCAGAACTTCACTCCTCTGATGGTTAGAAACCTTCATCTAATTTCAAGTCTAAACTTCCTGATGGCCAGTTTATATCCATTTGTTCTTGTGTCCACATTGGTACAGAGCTTAAATAATTCCTCTCCTTCCCTGGTATTTATCCCTCTGATATATTTCGAGAGAGCAATCATATCTCCCCTCAGCCTTCTTTTGGTTAGGCTAAAGAAGCCAAGCTCTTGGAGTCCCCTTTCATAAGACAGGTTTTCCATTCCTCAGATCATCCTAGTAGCCCTTCTCTGTACCTGTTCCAGTTTGAATTCATCCTTCTTAAATAGGGAGACCAGAACTGCACACAGTATTCCAGATGTGGTCTCACCAGTGCCTTGTACAACGGTACTAACACCTTATCTCTACTGGAAATACCTCTCCTGAAGCACCCCAAGACAGCATTAGCTTTTTTCACGGCCATATCACATTGGCAGCTCATAGTCATCCTGTGATCAACCAATACTCCGAGGTCCTTCTCCTCCTCTGTTACTTCCAACTGATGAGTCCCCAGTTTATAACAAAAATTCTTATTAATCCCTAAATGCATGACCTTGCACTTTTCACTATTAAATTTCATCCTATTACTATTACTCCAGTTTACAAGATCATCCAGCTCTTCCTGTATGATATCCTGGTCCTTCTCTGTATTGACAATACCTCCCAGCTTTGTTTCATCTGCAAACTATTAGCACACTCCCACTTTTTGTGCCAAGGTCAGTAATAAAAAGATTAAATAAGATTGGTCCCAAAACCGATCCCCGAGGAACTCCACTAGTAACCTCATTCCAGCCTGACAGTTCACCTTTCAGTATGACCCATTGTAGTCTCACCTTTAACCAGTTCCTTATCCACCTTTCAATTTTCATATTGAGCCCCATCTTTTCCAATTTAACTAATAATTCCCCATGTGGAACCGTATCAAATGCCTTACTGAAATAGAGGTAAATTAGATCCACTGCATTTCCTTTGTCTAAAAAGAATTTACCACCTTCTCAAAGAAGGAGATCAGGTTGGTTTGGCATGATCTACCTTTTGTAAAACCATGTTGTATTTTGTCCCAATTGCCATTGACCTCAATGTCCTTAACTACTTTCTCCTTCAAATTTTTTTCCAAGACCTTGCATACTACAGATGTCAAACTAACAGGCCTGGATCACCCGGATCACTTTTTTCCCCCCCTTTCTTAAAAATAGGAACTATGTTAACAATGCTCCAGTCATACGGTACAACCCCCGAGTTTACAGATTCATTAAAAATTCTTGCTAATGGGCTTGCAATTTCATGTGCCAGTTCCTTTAATATTCTTGGATGAAAATTATCTGGGCCCACCGATTTAGTCCCATTAAGCTGTTCAAGTTTGGCTTCTACCGTGGCTGTGGTAATATCTACCTCCATATCCTCATTCCCATTTGTCATTCTGCCATTATCCCTAAGCTCCTCATTAGCCTCATTAAAGACTGAGGCAAAGTATTTGTTTAGATATTGGACCATGCCTAGATTATCCTTAACCTCCCTCCATCCTCAGTGTTTAGTGGTCCCACTTCTTCTTTCTTTGTTTTCTTCTTATTTATATGGCTATAGAGCCTTTTACTATTGGTTTTAATTCCCTTTGCAAGGTCCAACTCTACATGGCTTTTGGCCTTTCTCACTTTATCCCTACATGTTCTGACCTCAATAAGGTAGCTTTCTTTGCTGATCCCTCCCATCTTCCACTTCTTGTAGGCTTTCTGTTTTTTCTTAATCACCTCGCTGAGGTGCTTACTCATCCAGTTTGGTCTACAACTCGTGCCTATGAATTTTTTCCCCCTTTCTTGGGATGCAAGCTTCTGATAGTTTCTGCAATT